ACTTTTAACACAGATTCAAATTATTTATTTTTTTAAATGGCTTTTGTAACTAAAATAAAAATACATGAAAAAATTCTCACAAACAGCTATGAAATATATCAGAGATACAATAATGGACTCAAAAAATAAGCAGCAGATTTAAAAAGAAAAGCAAAGTTTTAGCACTAATATTTAGGTTTCAAAAACATAATAATCCAAAACTTCTATTCCCTAAATGTGTTTGAAAACGTTTAACTGTGTCATAACACAATGTTCAATTGCAAATTTAGCTAATTTTACAGAATAACAACTATGAAAAGCCAAAATCCTAAAGGCTGGTTTGTTTTGATGCAGAGCCGGAGTAGCGAAGGAGGGGGCCGTTTCCCCTGACAATGGCAGCAAGATAGAGCGGCGCACATACACAGGCAGAAAGATACAGAAGAAGAACTTTCAAGATTACTTTTTTAAAGATAATATAACTGATATTGTAGTTTATACTTTTGTCATCCAAGTCTAGAAATGATCACTTTCCACACTTGTAACAAAAGGCACTCTTAGTGTTTATTGTTTCCCTTTTTATGTTTATTTATCTTTTATACCATGGTTTCACTAACTATTCTGGCTGTAACTGCTATTTTATCGAGGTAGCAACCTGATGATCATTTAAACTGCCATTTTATCGAGGTGGCGGACCTGAATCTTACCTAATCCGATCTATATAGATATACGACATTTGGTGGACCTCAAAACAGACCATAATTTAGTTCACTCAATTAGCAGACTTTGAATAAACAGGTGTCCGCTCTTACCTTTTGTCGATTAGGGCCCAGGCACCGTCAGATGTCCACCAAATATCAGCTTTTCCACGTCCTACCGGGGTCTCCAGATCATGAACCAGCGCTCACTAGTACCGGGAACTAGTTTCCATCGGCAGAGACCAATCGCACGTCAGAAATCCCCGGAATGTGGACATGGGAAAACAATTTTAAACGCTTAGTCCAAAAAAGAGGACACCAAAAAATATAGTGAGAGAGCAAAAAAGTCCCGGAGCCGGTCGCCTCTCCAGCCTGCTGGACCGCTCCCAGGCCCCCGATACTCTCAGCTCTCCCACGCCGAGAAAAAGAAAACAAAGGAAACCCCCTCAAAACAATCCAGAGAATGGCACATACTGAGCCGCGCATCCTCCACCAAATCTGTCAGGGATGAAGCAGACAGAGACGGATCGTGGTGCGCCAAACTTTGGAAGTTTATTTAAGTTTCTCTCAAGTTCCAGTGGTTTCCATTGTTTCCTTCTCTCAGACAAAATAAAGTCAGTACACAGTTTATATAGTCATTGTCACGTCACACATGGAAAGACGTGTCACACAGAGACAGTCACATCATAGTCAAAATAATCAGAGTCCTTGTAGAGTCCTGCACGTAGGCCATATTGCTATCTAATACTAACACCTGTGCTCCTCAGAGTCCCAGCAGGAGGCCAGTCCCTGTGCTCCTCTGAATCTGAGTTGGTTCATATGGCACTAACATGTCACAGTACTTTGGTGCAAGGAGAGACTTGTACAAGAGCAGAGACTTGAGACCAGGACTTTTGTGAGAGGACTTCAGGACAGAGACTTGAGACCAGGACTAATGTGAGAGGACTTCAGGACAGAGACTTGAGACCAGGACTTTTGTGAGAGGACTTCAGGACAGAGACCTGAGACCAGGACTAATGTGAGAGGACTTCAGGACAGAGACCTGAGACCAGGACTAATGTGAGAGGACTTCAGGACAGAGACCTGAGACCAGGACTAATGTGAGAGGACTTCAGCGACACTAGAAACACCAGCAGAGACACCTGAGGGACCAGACACCAGCAGTGACAACAAAGACAACAGTATAGAGCCACCAGCCTCAGTCTGGGACCTGGCTCCTGGTCCCAGACTTTCTCTCCTCTCCTCTCTATTCCCCTCTCTTCAACCTGATATCTTCTATCCCCAGGGAGACTCGGGTGGTCCTCTCGTCCTGAAGATGGGTGAGACCTGGGTTCAGTTTGGAGTGGTCAGTTTTGGCCGTGCCAGCGGCTGCACCGATGCACCCACCGTCTTCACCCGTGTGTCCCAGTACAACACCTGGATCAAGGACCGAGTGAGCAACAACACAGGGTTTGTGGAGGAGGACGGGACCTCCTCCAACGCCGAGAATCTGGTCCAGACTCTGAGCATCGTCCTGGTCCTGGGCTTGGCTCAGGTCCTCGCACCATAGCACCAACACTCAGTGGTTTGTGGAGGAGGACGCTGAGAGCCTGGTCCTGACCCTGGTCCTAAACCTGACCCTGGTCCTGCTTCGTTGGAGCCAGCAGGACGATATCGTCCGCAAACAGCAGCGATGAAATCCTGTGGTCCCCGAACCGGACCCCCTCCGGCCCCTGGCTGCACCTAGAAATTCTGTCCATAAATACAGTGAACAGAACCGGTGACAAAGGGCAGCCCTGGCGGAGGCCAACATGCACCGGGAACAGATCTGACTTACTGCTGATGCGAACACAGCTCTGGCTCCGGTCATACAGGGATCGGATGGCCCTCAGCAGAGGACCCCGGACCCCATACTCCCGGAGAACCCCCCAAAGGACACCCCGGGAAACACGGTCGAATGCTTTCTCCAAATCCACAAAGCACATGTGGACAGGTTGGGCGAACTCCCATGAACCCTCGAGTATCCGATGGAGAGTATAGAGCTGGTCCAGTGTTCCGCGACCGGAACGAAAACCACACTGCTCCTCCTGGATCCGAGATTCGACCATCGGACGTAGCCTCCTCTCCAGTACCTTGGAGTAGACCTTACCGGGGAGGCTGAGGAGTGTGATCCCACGATAATTGGAACACACCCTCCGGTCCCCCTTCTTGTAGAGAGGGACCACCACCCCGGTCTGCCACTCCATTGGCACCGCCCCCGATCGCCACGCAATGCTGCAGAGACGTGTCAGCCAAGACAGTCCTACAACATCCAGAGACTTTAGATAGTCAGGGCGGATCTCATCCACTCCCGGCGCCTTGCCACCATGGAGGCTGCCAACCACCTTGGTGACCTCAGCCAGGGAGATGGATGTATCCGCCCCAACATCCTCAGCCTCTGCCTGTGTAACAGAGGACGTGACGGGGGGATTGAGGAGAACCTCAAAGTATTCCTTCCACCGCCCGACAATATCCCCAGTCGAGGTCAGCAGCTCTCCACCCTGTAACAAAGACCACTCAAAATTGTTCACCTTACTAAGATTTTTGCATTCACTGACAATAAAATTGCAAGTTGTAACTTGAACTGTCTGTTGTGAGCCACTTGAACTCACTTTCAGGAGTTACTCACCTTATTTGATAAATTATTTTCTTTTTACTTTGAAGTTGTAGTTAAAGTAAAATCAACTTAATCAACTTCTGAAAGTGAGTTTAAGTGGCTCACAACAGGCAGTTAAAGTGTCAACTGTCAATTGTATTGTCAGTGAATGCAAAAATCTTAGTAAGGTGAACAATTTTGAGTTCTCGTTTTTACAGTGCACCGAGTTAGAGTGAGGTCAACTTATCTGCAAATGCTCATTTCAAAGTTGTCATGCCAACCGGCTGTAACTAATTTGACCAAATAAATCATTGTATTTATTTTTACCAACCGTAATCGACAGGGCCAAGCCAAAGTAGCGCCATATAGTCCCTGGGTCAACCATTTAGAATGTTCTAATTGTAATCATAGGTCACTGTGCCTGAATGCAGTTCTTGTCACAAACTGAGTGCTAATTGAGTTGCATTATTGCTTCTCAATCTGAGACTTATAAGAGTTCAGGACCTTAAGACTAATATAAGTGTCAAATGAGCTTATATTCTTAAGTTCATGGCATTTATAAAATTAAAATGGATTAGTACAAACAATGTGTAAGTTAGTCTAGTGAGCTGATGAATTCAATAAAGAGTGTGTTTAATGAACTTATATTGTTATGTTTATGGTATTCATAAAACTCATCTGTATTGAGGGAACGAGTTTCCTTAAGAAACATTAGTTTTCCCACATTACAGAGTGTGTGGCACGGTGGCTGAGTGGATAGCACTCTTGCTTCTTGGCAAGATTATCCTGGGTTCGAATCCTGGTCTGAACAGGGCCTGTCTGGGGGGAATTTGCATGTTCTCTGTGTCTGCATAGGTGTGCTTCGGTTTCCCCTACCCAAGTGACCTTGGTCTATAAAAGCACTATATAAATAAACATGAGGATGAAACAGGATGAACGTGGGGGTAATTTAAACTCAAAATAGCAGCGGACTGTAATCTGAACTTAAAATAGTAAGTTTTTACAGACTTGAAAGTTCCAGTAACTTGAATTACAAAAACGTTGTTGGCAGAACTAGAAACACTTTGCTGACACAACTTAATGATTGTAGTTCCTCAAAACGTAAAGAATTAAGTTGATGCTTCAACTCAAAAGTCGCGTGCAGCCAGTTACCTTGAAACTTTGAGTTGAACTAACTTTTTCGTTTTTACAGTGCACGGTGTTGGCAAATAACTGCTTCCCCCTCAGTTTCAGTTTCAGTTTAGTTTATTTCAAAGGGAACAATGCAATTTAATAAAACACATGATAAAACATGAGTTAAAAAAGCCAGAATTAGCCAAGGAGGCTATTTTTCATCTGTAGTCCCCTGGCCGTGATGTTAAAGAGACAATAAAATACATTAAAATACATTATAATACATTAACATGACAAGATTACAAGACAGAGACAACATCAATCAAGACTAACATAGTGTTCCCACAATCAAGAATACACTATTTACAAGACTTAAGCATATCATACATCAGTTAATGTGGACTAATGAGGGCAGGTGTATGTGTTTACCATCCATTCCTTTAGGTGATGTGTAAAAGCCCTGTATGTGCTGCTGTCTAACAGTCTGTAGTGAGTTCCTCTCTCTGGTGCCTCTAACGGACCAGGCAGACTGACTGAAGGTGCTCTTACGCAGAGGGATCACCGCTCACTACTGTTCCTTTGACTTATTAGACCCGCGAGTGGAGCCGGAGCCAAATTATGATTTATACATTAAGCATAGATTTGAAAATTTATGAAGATCCGGCCAACTTAGAAAGACTTAGTTGGCGTCCAGGGCAGATGTTGGGTGTGTGGACTGGGTCGTCGAGGTCTCCGCCTTCGGCTGCTGCCCAGTCCTCGCTGCACCACGCCACCACGGACCCCTCTGCAGGTGGTGGGCCCACAGGAGGGACTGCCCACGTCATCCGTTCGGGCTGAGCCCGGCCGGGCCCCGTGGGCTAAGGCCCGGCCACCAGGCGCTCGCTTGCGAGCCCCGACCCCAGGCCTGGCTCCAGGGTGGGGCCCCGGCTGCGCCATGCCGGGCGACGTCACTGTTCTAGTATTAGTGCTGTCCACGTTAAGGTGGCAGTCCAAGGGGGAGGAGAAAGGAAATACTTTTCCAAAATTAAACAGTGATGTAACACTTTGGCTTTTTGGCCATTACTTTGATGGCTTGCTTATATATGATATCTACTGGTCTTAAAGTAGTCTGATAAGCTTGACTCCAGCTTGTTAAACAATAATTAAAATGACGAAAAATCATTGAGTCTAGAAAAAGTTTTGCGGCCTCAGTTGACATTTGATATCTGACTGATCCTCATGAGGCGTCGGATGGTTTGCCAGAATCTTTTCGAGGCCGACCGATAGTCATGCTCCATGGACTCTCCGAACTCCTCCCAGTCCCGGGTTTTTACCTCTGCAACAGCCCGGGCCGCGGCACGCTTGGCCTGGTACTGGACAGCTGCCTCAGGAGTCCCACGAACCATCATGGCTCGATAGAACTCCTTCTTCAGCCTGACGGCATCCCTTACTGCCGGTGTCCACCACCGGGTTCAGGGGTTACTGCCGGGAGCAGCACCAGAGACCTTGCGACCACAGCTACAAGCCGCCGCATCGGCGATAGAGGAAGAGAACATGGTCCACTCCATGTCCCCCTCCTCCGCCGGGACCTGGGAGAAGCTCTCCCGGAGTTGTGAGTTGAAAGTCCGTCTGACAGGGGTCTCAGCGAGACGTTCCCAGCAGACCCTCACTACACGCTTGGGTCTGCCAGGTCTGACCGGCTTCCTCCCCTGCCAGCGGATCCAACTCACGACCAGGTGATGATCGGTTGACAGCTCCACCTGTAGCGACCCAAACCTATGTCGCTTCTGGAGAGAAGAGTGCGTGTCCAGTATAATGGATGACGCGCTGCCGATTGTAAAGAACACGCTGGAGGCACGTAATGCGTTTTGTGGATTTAATTGTATCTGCGGTTTATGATTGTTACAGTGCATATGAGTAAAACAGAAAACAAAAGAATATGGACCAAAAGTGTGCGGTCAACGAAAAATACAGCTACCCGGCTTCTCCCCTCTCCCTGTCACTGAGCAGGAAGCGAGTGCCACTCCTGCCCCACACTCCGCTCCTCCTCCACCCTGCCACTCCTGCCCGCACACCCCGCTCCTCCTCCACCCTGCCACTCCTGCCCCACACTCCGCTCCTCCTCCACCCTCACACTCTCCGTCCCCCCAGCCAGACTCATCACCGTGGGATACAGAGCCTTCAGCCACTCTGCCCCCCAGCTCTGGAACTCTCTCCCCCCTGACCTCCGTACCATCGACTCTCTCCCACTCTTCAAATCCAGACTCAAAACCCATCTGTTCAGACTGTCCTACCCCACCTAACACACACACCCCCACCTAACACACACACACACACCTAACACACACACACACACCTAACACACACGCACCCACCATTCCATATTGCACTACTGTTTTATTCTGTTGATCCTGTTTTTTATGTCCTGTACAGTGTCCTTGGGTGTCGAGAAAGGCGCTTTTAAATAAAATGTATTATTATTAATATTATTTCAACTTTTAAGTCAACATTTTATAACTTTATTCTCAGTCTGGCAAAAGAAGAAAAAATGGTGACTCTTTTGCTCCGTGTAACTCTTTGCTTTAGGCCTGTTGCTGTTTCCTCTGGCGTCTGCACACGGCCCTGCAGTCCCTTATATGGGCATTAGTGGGCGGTTACCTATGCTAAGTACCTATGCTAATGAAGCACCGGGTACGCGCGCTCTACTTACGAGGAGTTGGCATTCATCAATCTGAGAGAACAGCTGCGAACAATTCAGAGGCTTACGAGCACGTTGATGAATCCCACGGAGGGTCTTCTTAGAAATCTACTTAAGAACGACTTGAGAAGAAATTTAAGAAGTT